ATATATATACATGAAATTACCCTATATGGTAACGAATGAAAGAATGACCAAGACAATATTATGAAAGACAGTAAACGACAATCATCTTCTTAACGGTAATCTCCTTCAAACAAGAAAGTAAATTCTTACGTCATTCTCCTGTAGATGTAGGTCACGTTTTGTGGTCGAACCATGTTAAATATTTGTACCCAGTGGATTGAATGTTGCTGTATTTTTCATTTCATGTTCTTGCTTTGATATTATGCGATTTCCATTGCTTGTTTATGTTCATTTGGATGCACAATAGCTGTAACTTTGATACACCCTTGCTGTTTTTTCATTTTCACCACTGATTAGCAACATTGGGCACAAAATGTTGCCCGAGAGCGGGGCCATCATGGCTCGAGATTAGGAGCGGACTAGGTATAGGCGGGCATGGTTCAATCCTTTTTCCCCCATGTTTTTCATTTACTTTTTTATGATTTTGTTTGGGCTGATCAGGACAGGATCGGGCCGGCCTTGATAGGACCAAGGCTTGAGCCTGAGCCAGCCCTATGCGTATTAGGATCGGGCAAGGGTCATGGGTTGCATTTGCAGCCCTAAGATCATTTTCATAGAGGTTTTGATCCCTAAGATGATATCTCCACATATAAAGTTCCTAAATAGCCTGGGGCACTTTTCACTGTAAAAACTGCTATTCAAAGTAGGGAAAAGTTTATATAAGGTTGCAACCTTAAATGTAGAATCAAATATGCACTTCAAAACTCTATTGGAAAGGTTGTTTCAATGTTGAAAAAGCCTCTAATTGATCATATCGACATCGAGATGTACAGATATTAAAAAAAAAAAAAACGTTTTTAAGTCCCAAAAATAGTGCATCTTACAACACGTTATCTAGACCGTCCATTTTCAAGATCTTCATATGTTTACAGATTAACTTGATTTTAACCATTTTTTACGTTTAAAATTTTCTAATTAGATATGAAAATACTTTTTAAGATAATCCTATAAAACTTTTACAACAAAATTACATGTCTAATAAAATTTGGAGGTGCGCCTTAATTGGATTGTTTAAGGTTGCAACCTTGTGGAAACCGCACCCATCTAAGTAACATGATCATCCCCTTTCTTTATTTTGTCACCTTCTTTACACCAAAGACAAGTTTTCTTGTGCCTCGCCATGGGCCGGACATGGTTCTCAGTGTGAATTAGTAGATGAACGGTGATCCAACGAGAGCGGCACCTAGAAGAAGTCACATGACCAGTGTGGTAGGTCCGATTTTCTCCACATGAAGTACATGTATTGGATAAGATGGGGATTCAAACTTTTGATCATAGATTCCTAAGATCATCTCTGGGGTGCATTTTTACGTGTGCCACCTTGACATATGAAATGTATGTACTAGGGTTGGCAATGGGCTGGGTGGTTCGGCTGAGTGTAGTCAGCCCGGCCCTAAAAACATAGGGCAAGGACCACAAAATATGGCCTGAGGGCTGGACAGGGCCATGCCCACAACAGGACTAGCCCGGTTCATCATTTTCATCGTTTTTGGTTTTGGTCTGGCTCGTGATAGGGCCAGAGCTGCTTGAACCCAGTATTGGCACGGCAGGCCCTGCCTAGGCTCGGCCTATTGCCAGCCCATACATGTGACCCACACTCCTAGCTATTCAGATTTGAAAAGATGGTTAGGCGCAATGTCACAAATCAGCTTCCAAGTTTCTTATCTTTATGGGATGGCTCGCAATATTTTATTCTTACCCGAAATTTTTTATTTATTTTCGGTGAAAGTTGGGATGCGCACACCTCTCAAAAGGAAGGGTGCACATAACAAACTTAAAAAACAATTAAGCATGGACATTGTTGACGAAGCTATATATTTGTGGCATATGCCCCATGTAAAGTTTCTCGTAATTTCTAGTTCATGAAAAACGAAGGAAGTGTTGAGCAGTGGCTAATCATATTCCGATACATTGCAATCACTGAAGCTTGGCCCGAGAAAATGGAGAAATTAGTCTGATCTGGGGCCGAGAAAATGACGAAATTGGTCTCATAAGGGTGAGGATTTTATATTTTCTCTTAACCTGTCCCAAGCGCGTAATTACGGAGGGAGGTTGAGTTATGTGGGCCGCCAGCATAGATGTCTACCGCATCTTAACATAAATCATAAATCTATACTATACTTTCGATCTTAGTGAGCGCATGACCCTTGATAAAGAAAAATGGAGGAACATAATTCATGTAGTCAGCTTTAAATAATTTAAATAAAACTCGAATAATGATGACAATTAACTATTACAAATTAAGATTTTTCGAGTCCTGCAGGGTGCGGTTTTGGAAATGGCAAAAAGTGTTGAAGAAATGTTAGGCAGATGGAGAGATTACGATGGGCGAGATACCGAAATTTCCAGTGAATTTCGGGTTTTGACATTGGACGTTATTTCGAGGACAGCATTCGGAAGCAGTTATGTAGAAGGAAAAAATACGTTCGATTTGTTAGCAACGTTGGGAAAGATAGTAGCTTCAAATATCCGGAAAATTAAATTTCCGGGTAGTGGGTAAGACTCTCTCCCCATTTTAATGTGTATTATTAACATGGGGTGCTGCTAGAGTGGTCTCACGCGACCATCCTTGAACATGGTCTTGCACCCAAATCACATGGCATGTATTTTGGGATGCCAGGGAACAAGTTCTTGTGAGACCAACCTAGCACATCACGTGGTCTCTCAGAGAAATTTTTAAGTGGTTTCTTATTCATCTTGTGATTTTTTTTGTATCTTTCTTATAAAAATTTGATTTTTAGCCCTTAAAACCCTGTTTACGATTGTATCTCAAATGTAATGTTCCAAAATCAATCTTCGAAGGAGATTTGATTCGGAAGATTTTACCAATCATCAACTTGATTTAGGAGTGAATAAGTATACTACAAAAAAATTTAAATAAAAAGAATCCCTATAATTATCTTTAGGAAAATTGTTTCATGAGCCAATGGGCGTAAGAGCCTGTTAACTTATAAACGTCCATCTTTATTACCTAAAGTGTATGTAATTATCTCTAGGAAAATTGTTTCATGAGTCAATGGGCGTAAGAGCCTGTTAACTTATAAATGTCCATCTTTATTACCTAAAGTGTATTGTCCATAAATAAGATATGGACAGTGTGTAAAAGATACTAAAAAAAATGTACTTTTAATTTTAAAGGTTTATTTTTCTTTTCATATTTGTGATCATATTGGCTTAGATGATGAATCTACAAAACAAAATTAGAAAAAAATCATGTAAAATGAATTTTTGTGCAAGGCCGAATGTATACATAGGAGTCCACCGACTCATAGAAACCCCATCGTTATCTTTATGGGGTGCCACAACTTTTGTAGAGGGTGGTTTCACCAAATCTATTACCTTTGGGATAATGGGAGAAGTGTTTTATGCGTCGGCGCTCCGACACATTAAACATTCATGTTAGTGATGGATGTAAATTGTTGGTCCTACCAAAAATAATAAAAGGCCAAGGTCTAAAGTCTTTTTTCAATTTTAATTTTAGTTTTTAAAATTTATTTTTTGATACATTAATGATTTCTATGTTACAAACCATACATTCTTTAAAAATTAGTTCCAAAATACATCTCATAAATAGATAGCAAAAAACGGATGTGTTGCTAAATGCGAGTCTTGGACGCATAAAAAACATGCATATTTAAATTGTAAATTTTAAAATGGGTGCGGTTTGTATAGAGTAGGCTCTAAACAATCAAATTAGAGCTACCTTCAAATAGTGTCGAGAAATGTGGTTTTAATACTGAAAATATTTTTGATAGCCTTCAAATATGTTTTCATATTTATTATAAAGTTCAAAGCTTAAAAAATAGTGTAGATCAAGAGATATACGAAAACTTGAAAGTTTTTAAAATGAACGGTCTAAAAATGCGCTACAAAGTACACAATTTCCAAAACTTGAAATCCATTTATTTTTTTATATTCATGCATCTTGATGTCCGGATGATCAATTTGAAGATATTTAGGCATCAAAACAACTCGTTCTAGTGAAATTTTGGAGGTAGGCTCGAATTTGATTGTATAGAGCCTCGGCTCTATATAAACTTTTCCCTTTTAAAATAGGGTGTGGTTTCTATAAGGTTGCAACCTTAAACAATCCAATTAAGGCGCAATTTTATCGTAACATGTAATTTTAGTGTAAAATGTTTTTAGGACTATATGGAAATTTATTTTCATATCTAATTATAAAATTTTAAACTCCAAAAATGGTTAAAATCAAGTAGATCTATAAACATATGATAATCTAAAAAATGGACGGTCTAGATAATGTGTTGTAAGATACAATATTTTTAGGACTCAAAATATATATATTTTTTATATTCATACATCTTGATGTCGAGATGATCGATTAGAGGGTTTTTCAATATTAAAATAATATTTTCCGATAGATTTTTTAGGTACATTTTTATTTTTACATTTTAAGGTTGCAACTTTATATAAACTTTTTCCTTTAAAATATTGTTTATTCCTTTTAAAATTTGCAATTTAAATTCGGGTGCAGTTTGTATAGAGCCTAGGCTCTAAACAATCAAATTAGAGCCTGCTTTCAAATAGTGTCGAGAAATGTGGTTTTAATATTGGAAATCTTTGTGATAGCCTTAAAATATATTTTCATCTTTATTTATAAATTTTAAAGCTTCAGAAATAGTGTAGATCGATAGATCTATAAAAATATGAAAATCTTGAAAATTGACGGTCAAAAAATGTACTACAAAATACACTATTTTGTAGTACATTTTTTCTCAAATTTTTGAAAATCAAAACATTGTGTTCTAGTGAAATTTTTGAGATAAGCTCTAATTTGATTGTTTAGAGCCTCAGCTCTATATAAACTTTTCCCTTTAAAAACTTTGATATCCCGCGTCATTTTAGCATCATGCCAGTAGTCAAGTGTTACGAATGGACGACTTATGTGACTCGTTCCCTTATGTTTGAAGTTAAAAAAGAGAACAAAGTAAAAGGGGAAAAAAATTCTCATCATGGTCCTATTTGTGTGTGGGTGTGTGTATGCCCATCTCTAAATTTATCATGTAATTTTGATGTAAAACATTCTTAGGATCATCTCAAAATATATTTTCATATTTAGTTATAAATTTTAAACTCTAAAAATAGTTAAATCAAGTAGATCTATAAACATATGAAAATCTTGAAAATGGACGGTCTAGTTAATGTGTTGCAAGATGCATTATTTCTTGCACTCATAATCCTTTTTTTTTTTTTATATTCTTATATCTTGATATCGAGATGATCAATTAGAAGGTTTCCAACATTAAAACACAATTAGAAGGTTTCCAACATTAAAACAACTTTTT